CCCTTCCCTTCCCTTCCCTTCCCTTCCCTTCCTTTCCCTGGGCAGATGGGTCCAGTCCTCAACCACTAGCTTATGTTGTGGGCCACTTTGGATGCCAAATGAATTTACAACTTATCTACAGCCTTGTGATTTGTGTGGCCGGACACTAGCTTCCTGTTTAATTTTGGTTTGAAATAAAGGCGTACAGTATTTTTTAAAAATGAAGAAGTCCAGGAGCATGGCCAGTGGTTTTAGACTGTTCATGGTTTTAGGCTGTGAAAGCACCCTCTGATTTGGGAGGGAATAAATTTATACCGAAGCCATTTCAGCTGTTCCAGAGAAAAGCTCAGTTCTGGTAAGTGGCTATTTTTATAAACCTTGAGGTAGAAATATGTTACAGTTTTATGGCAGTGAGTTCATTGCAATGTTCTCCTACCTTTATAGTTTTATTTTATCTATTTTATATAAGTCACTGGCCAACATAAACTAATATTAAAATTAGAATTTATGACCTCCCATATTAAAAAACCGATGCTTACCGAGTAGTAGAGAAAGTATTAGATAAAGTAGATAAAAATAAAAAGTAAAAGATTATTTTATGCCAAAGAAATATTAAGATACAGCTAAAATTTTTTGGTGAATCTGAATCTGTCTTGACTCCTGGTGACTGCCTGGATAAGTCCCTGCAGTTTCTCAGCAAGATTTCCGAAGTGGTTTGCCACTGTCTCCTTCCTGGGGCTGAGAGAGTGACCCAGATGGCTTCGTGCCTAAGGTGAGACTAGAACTCAGGCTCTCCTGTTTTCTAGCCTGGTTGCCTTAACCACTATAAATAAGGAAGATAGTCAACAATACAGCAGAGCAAGTATGTAAGTGAAGTCATGGCTAATAAATTCTTGGACAGCTCCTTATGATTTTACAATCTGATGCGCAGAATATACCAACATCAGATGTTACAATGTGAGAACACTCAGAAAGAAGTGATCAGCACAGCCAGCCAGTCTGGTGACCCTTCAAGAGAGATCAGAGTTTTCAAGGTCAGTGTCAAAGGACAATTTGGAGACTTTCAGTCTCCCAGGGATGATTCCGGAAGAGAGTTTTTCCTATATTTTCATTACTTTCCATCAAGAAGCATTACAGTGTCTTAGGCTGAAGCCCCTTTTGGCCTTGGGAACTTCTAGTTGCCCAAAATGGGGCACAGAAGTCATCAGGTACCTTTGAGTGCTAGTGATAAGGAAGTCATGATAATTAAGCATAAGCTAAAAGAGCATTGATTGAGAAACTTATGAGAAACAACAACAATAACAACAAACTTGGGAGACTATGTTTGGTAAGTTTGAGATTACTGTATTGTGTAAACTCAACCTAAATGTCTCTGAAACAGGATGACAAGAGAAATTTTTGAATATACAGCACTGTCTTAAGAGATATTGCGAATTGTGCAACAAAACTTTCTCCTATTCTTAATTATGATATTAATGTTCTCCCTACCTTTTGACTCCATTTGAGCACTCAAAGCAGCTGATAATCATTTACTAGCCGATATGTAAATAATTTGACAGAATATTTTATCCATACAGCTAGCAATCAAAGAAATCCTAGATGAAATATTCAACAATAGAGAGACTTATTTAATAGAAAGTGTATCTAGATTTGGGAATGGTTTTCCAAACTGAATTTTAAATCAATGCATCCAGTTTCTAATCTATTTGATCCATTTGGGTCCTTATTGGGAAAGGGTAAGTGTGCTGGGAGATTTCCCCTCTAAATCGTCATGCAGAGAAAAAGGAGTTGGCATCAGGTCTAGGGCTTCAGTGAGGATGATTTGAGCCTAAAGGAAAGAATTTGCTCCTCAGATTTCTCTTGGAGAGGAGGTCCCTCTGGTGTTAATGAGAGACCCAGAGAAATGCAACACCTGGACAGGACTTCATTCAGAGAAATTGATAGTTTTTATTTGAGCAGTAAATATTATTTCATACATCACAATGTGGTAAGGGTGAGCTCCTGTCCTTCTCTGTCTGCATGAAAGGAACGCAATTCATTTGCACTTTTTAGGGTAATCCATTCCATCACCATTCCCAGATTCCACTCTTAATTGTCCATAGCCATAAAATGGAAATCCGATTGATAGTTATAAATGCCCTTAAAGGAAGATTTACAAGAAATACCACACAACTGCTTTTTGAACTTAACACACACACACCCAACTGAAGGTGAAGACCTGTTCACATCTCTTATCTTGCAGTGAGACTGTGGGTTACTGTCACGTCCTGCCCGTCTTCTTTGCCATTCACGAGATCAACCAGAATCCAAAGATGTTACCCAACATCACCCTGGGCTTCAACATCTATGAGGACTTTTTCAATGCAAGAGTAACATATGAGGCCATGATGGACTTGCTGTCTAAGGGGCAGGAGAATGTCCCAAACTATAGTTGTGGAAGACAA